GGGGCATGATTTCCTCTGTAAATATGCACTCTGGAATCGGTTCCAATAATAATAATAAAGGGAACCCAATGTTCAGACCTCATGATGCCTTGAATGTGATGCACCCTACCCCCCAAAGTAACAGCCAATTAATTCCTTCATTTAGTGGGGGTCTGAATTCATCATACCCCAATCAGATCCCCTCTCCGCCTTCATCATCATATGCAGTAGTACATCCACAAGGATCTAACAACCATGCAATAAACAACCCTCAGAAACAAGCTCTTATTCAGCTCGCGAAAGAGAGGCAGTTTCAACAGAGACTCTTACAACAGCAGTTTGGTGCATCAAATCCTGTGATTCCCTCACCGCCCTTGCAAAATGGTCCCTCCCAAATTGCATCACAAACCTCTCCATCCACTACGTCACTTTCTCCCATGCCGTCTCATTCTTCCCCAATGACTCCAGCACCACATAATCAACTGAAACAACAAAAACATCCAATACCACCACCTCATGGGCTGGGCCGAGGTGGTGCTCAAGGTGGGGCCAGCGGATCGCCTAATCAGGTGGTAGGTAAGCAACGGCCTCGACAGACGCAGATGCAGCAGCAACAGAGTAGCAGGAGTCATCTTCAGCAACGTCAGCAATTGCAGCCACATCAGCAAGCTAAACTCATGAATGGTGCAGGGAGAGGAAATGTGATGAACGGGTCGGCTTCAAGCCCAGCTCAACCTTCTAATCCTCCGGTGGCCATTTCTAATACCCAGATTCCTCAACCTATGCAGAAGATATATCCTGTAAATGCTTCTTTGCTGACAGAATCTCCTCAGCAAAAACCTTCTTGCTCTGAGGATGTGAACCAAGGCTATGGTCCACCAACTGCCTTGGGCTCCACGTTGTCTTCTTCCGATCATCAACCGCCATCACATCCACCTCGGTTGCATCATAAGAACTTGACAAGTCAAAATCAACCTAATTCCCAGAGAGTAGCTAAGCATACCGTGTGCACTTCTTCTTTGGTGGGCTCAAAAATGTTGGCACCTCAAGATGGCAGTGATGAAGCTGATGTGGGGATGATCAATATTTCCCAATGGAAGGGTGTGGAGCCATTGCTTGATTCCGGTGGGGCCTTACCAGAAGTTAGCAGTAACCTAACAGACTGTGATATTGCTTCACAAGTTGCCCCGCCGGGAATGAGCCGGAGGAGATCCTCAGGCAACTTGTCCCCTGAGGAAGGGCACAATGCTGGTGTACAATTGCAGCAGTCACACTTGGCGCTGCATGAACCCCAACATCAGCATCAGTCAGGGGTTGTAGGAGCAGGGAATAACAGCTTGTATGATCGGCCAAGCAACTCCGGACCAGACTGAGTTTCACTCAACGGATGTGAGGGTCTAGTGTTTGTGTGGCTGGCTTTACTCTGTTTGGATCAGCATGCTCCGGAATTAATGTGTACAGGTGATCCCATATTTTATGATATATACGCTTTATTCATTGGACTTTTATCATATTCTCCATCTAAAAAACGCTCTCTTTGAAAATTTATTTTGTTCCAAAGTTAAAGTAAAATTTGAACAAAATAACCCATTTTTTATTATATCCAAGTGTATTTTTTCAAAAATTCCCAAACTACATAGTATGTTAATTATTATTAAAACCATCAAATACATTTTAAAATAGACCTATAATTCTTGATTTCAAGTAGCTGTAACTTAATAGCTAGAACACCAATGCTGATCACAAATGTTGTCTCCAAACAAAGTCTAAAGCCTTGGATGCTTGATAGTTTTGTTGTCACATTTGCGTGTGTTGAAGTGTGTAGTTTCCTGAGTAGTTTTCATTGTTCTTCGCAGAAGTCATGTCCATCGGAGCGGGTTATTCACAGTGGTAATTCCAGGGTTTGCTCAAGTCAAGCAATGACAGAGGGCTAAAGTTTTTTTGGGGCTCTTTTTTTCTTTTGTATATTACTTACCCTACTTGTTTTAGATTCTCAGGCAGATAGGACCCACAAAGAGCTGTATACAGGGTCATGTTTTCTTCTTCTTTGCTTGTTTCTGTTTTTTTTCCTTCTTCTTCCCATCCTATTGTTAGAAGCCCTTCTAATCCTTAGTTCCCTGTGAATGGGAACCCCCATTTGTTTGTTCCAATAGGTCAACCCATGTATTATTGCTCTTTTTTTGTATTATTATGGGGGCTTAGATGTCATTTTTATAGCCAAAGGCTATTATGGGGATTTTTGTCTCTGTGTGAATATATATTAGTGTTGTTAGCAGCAGAAAGAGCAGCTAAAATCACGTTGACCGTTTTGCCCTCCTCCATCAGGGCTTGTGCATTTCTTGTAAATTACTACCTTATTCCATTTCCACTTCAACACTGGTCATTATTTGTGCATATTTGGGGCATGTTTGGCTATGTGTGCATTTCGTATCTGTTTGGGATGGATGGTAAAGTGAGTACTCTGCAACCATGTAAGCATCTCAGGGTCTGTTTGGTTGCAGGGTTTGGAAGGTCCAAATGGTGTATGATCTTAGAGATGACATGAGTATAATCTTATGAATTGAGTAAAGAAAAATGAGAAAAAAGCGTATAATGTTTGTCTGTGAATAGTAAATAGATAAATTGATTTGGAACGGAGAGCTTTGCCAGTACATTATACGAAGTACGGAGTACTTTGACAAATTAGAAGCTTTAAGTCCTCTAGACTTCATTTAGATTTGGGGTATTATTATTATTATTATTATTATTATTATTATTATTATTATTATTATTATTATGAACGCATTTGGGGTACTATTTTGAATATGGAATAAAAGAATTGAGATTTTTAGCTTAAAAGTATTGAGATTTTTTTCAAAAAGAAAATATCTACATGTAATCACATGAAAAATGTAAGAAAATCCATATTTTAAATGTGGATCATGAGACCATGTAAGTACCACGACATCGTAATAACTGAGCATTAAAGAGAACAAAGGGATCTAAGACAGCAGTGCTTGCTGTATTAAAATCACCCGTATAAATAAATAAAAAAACAAAAAAAGAATGCTAGATCTTTTTCATAGCTTCTCGCCTTCCCCTATTATATTTTGCAATAATCTTTTAATTGGTACTCCGTAGTCCGTATATAAACTAAGTTCGAGATGCTAATTTACCATGCACCTCTAAAGTATTTTGACCAGGCAAAATGATCTTTCTAAATGCCGAAAATGAAGAACAAGATTTTGAAGGGTATTTTATTCTAGAAAGATATTGACGTAAGAATATCAGAACCATGAGGGAAACGGTATAAATTTTGAAAATATAGATTAATTATCAAAATCTGTGAATTGTTCATAGAGTATTTTACTGAAATATGACTAAAACATAATGACTTTCTCAATATAGGACTAAATGTGTTTATTTCCTAATGTAGGACCATAAGTCATTATCTATTAGTCATTATTTAACTTAATGTCCAACATTACTTGGGCATTATTCTTCTCACTAGTCATTATTAAGTTTTATTTAGGGAATAAAAAATTTTAAGTTTTACATTGGAAAATGATTTATGTTTTAGTTGCAAATTTCACTTCTTTTTCATATAGCTAGACATTCATAAACATTCAAAACACTCTATGGTCTCAAAGGTGGGGTAGATTATGCTTTTTTTTTCTTTTTCCATATCTTACGCAAGACTTTGAGTCATCTCAAGAGACTTTGAAACTTTGTGAATTGTGATCATCCATTACACAAATGTGAATTGTGATTTCTCATGACTCCACTATAAATTTCGTAGGACTATCCAACTCCCCTCCCCCCCAAGAACACATACAAAAACACTTTTCTTTGATAACAATTAACACACAAACACTTTTATTCCATCCACATGGCGGCGGCGGTGGCGGCTTCACTGATAAAACCCCAACAACCCCTAGCGGCGGCGGCGGCCATCTTGCTTGCCCTACTCCTCATTTTCATCTCATCCTCTTCTCCCCATCCCCTCAACACAAAGACGACGACAATGGCGACGGCGTTTACTACAGAAGAAACGACCCAACTTCGTCCTTTTCGTATTTCTCCCCTGAAACAACCTACCAAAAGATTCTATTTTCATGAAGTCCCCTCGGGCACAAACCCTAAAGGTAACCGCCGGCGGTAGGTCGGTTACCATCTCCGGCGGGCAGATGGAGTGAAGATATATATATATATATTTCAATACTTCGTCATTACTTAATATTGATATACGAGTATGTATGTGTACAAGAATAAATACTTTTACTCAGAATTTAATAATTGTTGGAGTTCACATTAGAAAATTAAGAAGGATATCATTATCATATATAGAAGAGTGAAACCCTACCCACCTTTAGTTAAAAATGATACTTTCTCTGTCCTTATTAAAAGATCTTCCCCTTTCATTTTTTTGTTGTCCCAAAAGATGTTTCTTTATCTATTAAAAAAAAATTATTTTTACCCCTTATTTTTTCATACACTACCTATCACATCATACATTTTTACTAATAATTTATCCATCACAACTTACTTTTACTCATCACATCAATGGTATTTTTAGAAAGTCAACACAAAAATATCCCTTCCTTAATTTCCCAAAAAGTCAATACGGGAAACACTTTCAGGGACAGAGGAAGTATTTGATTTTAAATACAAGCGGTTAATTTTATCCAATATATATATTCTTTGTTTGTTGTTCCTAACCCACCGGAATCTTAACACTCTACTCATTGTTTTTGACGCATATTGTTCATAGTAAATTTGATTTAAAAATTTTGGCTGGTGGGCATGGAAGTGAATAATTGATTATGTGTTCAACAATAACGAATATGATGATGAGACTTAAATGAACTGCATTTCTTGTCAAAAGAATGAAGCCTTGAACACTTTTCGGGCCCAAAATGCCGTCGAAAAAACTTCAGATGGAACCCAATTACTACACCCTTATTCGCCGAGACCAAATAATGGCATGTTGTGTTGGAAATTAGAACGGAGGAAAGAACTGAAAATCGAATGCCTCAACCATACCTACAAGACTCTATTTATAGAGTCGAAAAACGATGATCAAACATGAACGTTTGCATAAGATGCGAACGTCCGCGCGCTGAAAAGCGTGAAAGTTTGCTCAAGGAGACAAACATTCGCGCAAAAGGATTCTTGCGGTTTTAGGGTTAATATCGTTGAACGAGTGCGCATCCTAACTCGTTAGACAACGTCTATTACAATTCTTGTCTGATCTAAGTAAATACAATTGTCAATGCTTTAGGTGCAGGTTGGTCAGTAAAAATCAAATAAAATCCGAACAAAGTAATCAGCTTGTGAGTAGAGGTTTTGCTTTGCGAACATGACCAATGCTATTTACAAGATCCTTTCGGGTGCAAACAGGGAACATGTTTATACCATTCTTCATCATTTTGAGCCTTCTCCACAGAACATATGGGAAACTCAGCTGATCGCGTGACGTGAACCGAACCACCTCGTTAAACCAAAGACACATGAACACGTTGGTGGTCGGATTGTGCTCTCTCACGATTATCGACGCTTCTGCAAGAGCTGCACAAAGTTACCACCAAAGTACTGGTCAGTGAAAAAGAAAACTACAGCTGGAAAGGGAAACATTTACCTTAATCTCATCCCTAGGGCGTGTTTTGTATGGATGCGAAATTAACACTTTGGATTGTGTAGAGCGAGCACAACCTTTTAGGGTCCGAAATTTCTAACGGGGGTTTGATTTTTAACCAAACAAGTCAAATGATACTACCTTCGTCCCTGAGTATCTGTCCACTTTTGACTTTTTCGGTTAGAGTTTGCAAACTTTGACCACAAATTAAATAAAAGTGTGATACAAAAATAATTTTATTAGATCTATTTTACAAAATATTTTCAAACTTTAGTTTTATCTAATTTTTTAAGGAAATTTTATCTTATTAATATAGCACAAACATAGTATATTTTATTTAATTATAGGTCAAATACTAAAAATAGTTGACTGCAAAAAGTCAAAACTCAACAGATACTCAAGGACGAAAGTAGTACATATTTTGCTCATTCTGATTTTTAAGCAAAGTTAAACAAAATAAGCCAACTCATGCTACCAAGTACCAAAGAAGCATTAGATTCAGAATACCCCGGAGTATCTTCTTATCTGATGATACTGGTAATAGTGTTAGCTACAAACGGATTTTCTGCGCGCCCTACCTAGTGAACAATATGAGTGAGGAGAAAAATTACCTTTCTTCCCATTGAATCTCTTATCCTCGGGGAGACCATCATGGCGATACTGAGTTAGTTGTACCTCCACCTCCTCTGGGGTGGCCTTGTTTTTTCTGACAACAGCTTTTGCCTCATCATATACACTGCTGCGAGCCCCGTGTTCTGAGATTGCCAGTACAGAATTTGAACGCCAAAGTAGGGCTTCAAACACACCCATTGGGTCCCTCCTGAACTGGGACTTTGAGTCTACCCATATGGAAAATCTAGCATTTGGAAAGAGCCGGTGTGGAAGCATCTGATTAATATAAAAAATTCATAAAGTAAATCATCATAGTACATCATGTATTGGCGACAAATGAACAAATTGAGCTACACGCCAGATTATATCCAAGGCACATGCATAACCAATCCAGATGCCTTATGGATAATTTGGTTGGAAAATTTTGGAGAAGATTGGTTTTTGGATTACCATATATTCTGTTAGTCACATACAAGAAAATCACAATATGCTTTGTTCAATTACTGTCTTTCTAAAGATGGGGCTAAAGATGGGGTTTCATGTCACTGACAAACACAATCCATTGACCACAAATTTAAAGAAGCATACCTTTGGGATTTTGCCATTCAATCTTTGGTCCGTAAAAGGCAGGTTTTTAACGAGTATCACACGCCACTTCCCAATATAATGGTCACCACCAACAGTATGACCCTCTGCCTGTTGTGCTGCAAGTGTGATTTCATCCCAAAATGCCACATAGCAGACCTGCATACATTGATTTATGTCATAAGTGGGCATTAGAGAAAAGAAATGCCCATATTAGACAATTGATAATAACAAGTCCTTTGCCAGGAACCTTCTTGAGGGATGACTCTGACAATCCTATTGGTTGGTAAAGATTATCTCCGCCGCCAAATGTGCATGTTGACACCACGGCCTTGCAAGATTGCATATACTGTTTGTCTTCTTCAGAAATTTTAAACCCTCCCGCCTCACTGTAAAAGCCACAGTTGACAATAGCTGTTTCATTAACCTGAGACATTAAATAACAATAGCATACCTCTTATAAGGACTGTTTATTTTTCAATGACTCAAATACCTACTGCAACTGTGAGTATTCTGTTACAGGAAGAACTTTATTACTCCCTCCCTTCTTATTTATCTGCTTACATTGACTAAATTTCTTGTTCCTTTTTATCAGTTCATATACACAATCAATGCATGCTATCCGATGTGCCCATCCTCTCCAGAGGAAGGCAAACGGGAGGGCAAATTCTAATGAAGAAATATTATGAAAATTATTAAGAGCTATGAATTCAAATGCTGTGCCATTTGCTCGATGTTGAGTACAGATGGGAATAGAGGGAAGGGAACACACAAACAAGTGAATTATACAAGTACAGAAGTGAACCAAGTGGGATGAAATGTGAAATTTGTAACCTTGAAGCTTTCATCTCTTTGCTCAAGAGATTGGCCTCCTGTGAATAAATTAAACCTTGTTGATTCAGAGAATTGTTGAATTTGTGTCAGATTCCCTCCTTCAAGATGATGATCATTAACATCTGCTGATACGTATACCACCCTTTTAATAGATTCAACATGCGCATTTCCAGTTGGAAAATCCAGTTGCCCGAGTTCTTCAGGAGGCAAGAGCTTCAAGCAACCTAAAACCATTCAAATGAAAATCGCTGAAACAAAGCATCCACAAAGTACTCTGACAATCAAATTTCAATATCAGGAACTGAATTGCAGCAGAAACTCACGCTCTCTAACTCCACCACGAACACGAGTTACTTGATCTAGACGATCCAAGTTTTCAGGGGGTTTTCTCCCGACGGTGCCAGCCTGTTTTTTCGGATCGGAGTCTCTCCGAATCCGAGGACCGGATCTCCCGCCGATGCGGGAAGCCTCGAGGATCAGGAGTCCGGCAGCTAGAAGGATGAGAGGGACATGCCACCATTTCAGAATCAGATGGACGACTCGTCTAGAAAACCGGTTCTGGCCTCTGTTCGCCGGCCTCGTGCGCTTCCGCCGGACTCTTGCCTTTATTCTGCCGGCGAGCTCGTCGGACTCTCCGTCCGAAACTGCAATTGGGATGCTATTGTTGTAGGACGACGCCATTGTTCAGAAGCTCAGCTCTGCTCAGATGGACAAAATCAGAACGGAGTTCCCATGGCTACGTTTAGACAACATCGGTTTGAATTTGGGCCACTACAAATGTTGGGCCAAGCCCGGATTGCAGGAAAAAGAAAATGAAACATTGCAGGCTTGCATGTCACAATCTACCGGGTTGTGCCAAACCCTCTTCTAAGTGTACCAAAGTTTAAAGTATTCATCTGGTTTGACTTTTTCAAATTAAATTAGACAAGTTTAAATTATCAATTAGAAAAATATTGTTTCAGAAGATTAAATAATGTGCAAATTATTAATCTTCATGAACACAATTAAACAATGGTAGTCATTGTCATATTATAACATCGTGCTCTTTTTGACCCAAGACCGAGACTTAAACCATACGACATGTTCATGGCCATGTCACAACCACCAATGTCATCGGAAGAAGAAGGCCATCCTGAAGGGGATGGATCCCATCTGATGCTGCACTTGAATTTCTCAAAAAAGGGGAAATTACTGGAATCGAGTCACGGCTTCACCGCCCATCCTGGAGTGTGGCGGTGTTCTCGTCTATCCCGCCTACCACGTCAGTCATCAATGCTCCATCCCGCACTATACACCGTGTGGTTTTATCCCTCCCTCTATGTAAAACCCCACTCGAGGTCCTATCTCAACCCCATCTACCCTTACCCCTTCGATGATGCAAAATCATGCACATGACTTGTGCAAAGAGCTAAACACGATAGACATTCATTCTACAAAAATGCTAGATGTACACTATATTAGTGTACACCAATGTGTTACAGACGTATAAAGATAATATTTTTACATGCACACAAACAATTGTTATCTATATATGTCTATAATAACTAAGGTATAAGTCGTATATACCAATAAATTGTACACACAACATATCCTTCTTTCTAAGGTGGTATTGTAAAGAAATCACTAGGTGCATACAACAAACCACCACATAAAACTAAAAAAAAAAATATTGGAGCCCAAAAGGAAGGAGCATTATGGAGATAACTATGCTTAATTGGTAAGTATAGAATACTTACAACTTGCAACTATACAAAAAAGTACTTTTCGAGGTGACCATCCAAGCGATTCTGAAGGACATTCATTTCACCACCAATCACATCAATCATCATCAATGTGGAAAGTTATTACCAATACATTACAATGGATTGATCTAAAAATCAAATGAAAACTATGAACCTTTTTAAATTCCCATCTTCAACCTTTTATTCTGCTGCTCAAAGATCCTACTGAAAGAATTAGCAATCTTCATCTGCGTCTCAAGAATCATGTCCGTCTTCCTCTTTTCCATCTCCATTCTCCATTTTTCGGTCTCCATGATCATCTCGATCTTCTTCTTCTCTAGCCTCATGAACTCCTCCGCAAAACCCCTAATTTCTCCTGCCAGTTTACTGTCCCAATCTCCCCCCTCGCCATCGCTGGGATCGTTAGCTCCATTGTTGTCTGAGCAATTCAAATTGTTTTGCTCGAAACCGGAATCCCCATAGCCGTCGTCGTTCTCGTCTTCGTACCGGTCGGAGGAATCGTAGAGATTCGAGTTCGGATGCATAACCATGGCGACGGGACAGGCGGCGATCGGCGAAGGTCCGCGCTCCATGTGATCCATGAGCTCGAAGAATTCCCAGGAATTCGGGTAGGGTTTGATCCGCTCGGATCTGTAGCGCTTCCGGAGCTTCTCGATCTTGTGGCGGCACTGCGTGGAGGTTTTGGAGAGCTCGTCGAAGCCGCAGCGGGCCGCGACGGCGACGGCTACCTCCTCCCACTGGTTGGCCTTGAGCGGGCCGCGATTCAGAGAGTACCATTTCTCTCTGTAAGTTTGGATGAGGCTGACCGTCTCCTGGGAGGTCCAGGGGAGGGGAGGGGTCTTCTTAGAGAGCGGCGAGGGGAGGCAGGAGAAGTTTCCGTACCGATCGGAGCCCGGTGGAGGGGAGGAACCGCCGGCCATTGGCGGTTGCGAGATATGCAGCGGAGAATGATGAGGAAGAAATTGAGATGGAGTGGTGAATTTATCGATGGGGTGAAAGTGGTGGCGGAAGAGGAGGACGGCGGTGGTTTGATAGGCGGATGGGTGGATAGCCTATGGGCCTCAACCGACCCGTTTCGTTAATTTTGGGCTTTCCACCTCTTTTTTCCGGTACAAAATTTCAGTTTTACGTCTCTCTCTACCAAGTACCAACATGTTTTTGAATACTACTAGCCTACTAGAGTACTAGTGTTATATTGCCCTAAAAACATTTCATATTTTGATTTTCAGTGTTAAATCATGACATATTTTGACTATAAATTATGAAAAAATATATTTAGTTATAATATAAATTTAATATAATTAGTTTCATCTTAGAATATACTTTTGATATATCAAATTTTTATATCATTAATTAATTTAAATTATAACTAATTTTTCATAAGAAGTGTCACTATTTGTCCAAAAAAATCAAAACATGAAATATTCTTAGAACGAGAGAGAGTAATAGAGAAATCAATACAAATAGGAGTAAAACAAAACAGACTCCGTAGAAAAATTATTAAAGTAGGAGTTTAATAATTTTATCCTTGATATTATATATATATATATATATATATATATAATAGCACCGGAGCGCCCTCGGGTCATCCCATGACATTGGTTCATGGGAACCAAGGTGATGCCAACAAAGTAAAATAAAATTTGACTCTGTTAATAGTGAATAAGAAATTTATTTCTGGACGAAGGGAGTATATATATATATATATATATATATATATACATACATACATACATATACATACATATATATATATATATATATATATATATAAACCACTCCATAAAATCAAGTAAATTATATTAAATTTACATTATAACTAGGCGTAAAGACAATATCAATTTGGATGGATTTCGCTTCTGAAACCGCCGATTCTTGATACTAGCAAAGAAATTACCATAATAGGTACTAGTGGAGAGCGATTTCGGTACGTTTCATTTTCATGTTTTAATGGATTATAAGTAGAGTTGAAAAAGGTTAAGACACACGAATTTTAAAAAAAAATTGAAAAAAAGTCAAAGACTAAGGGTATTATTGGTTGAGAGAAAATATTTTTTGAGAAAGTTTTAATTCTAATTTCAAATTTTGGGAAGATAAGTGGTATGAAATTATTTTGGAGAATAAATATTTTCTCACAAAAAGAAAAAAAAGCGATTTACAGACGAAAGTTCATCTTTCTATTCAGTCCTCAAAGCTGTAAACAAGAAACTAGACCCGATCACAGACGAAAGTTCATCTTTCCAATAAATAATACTTCGTATTCCGTATGCAATAGCAATATCAAATAAAATACATTTTTTTATATTAGTTGTTCTTTCATTTACTCATTATAATTATTATATCAAACATCTAATATATCAATCCATTAATTTATTTTTTTAAATTTTATTTTAATTATTTAGAAGTTTTTCTCGTGCGGCCCGGCCTGAAGCTTGCGGGTACTCATTTGGGCCGAGCTTGAGAATTATTAGGCGTGATATATGGGTCAGGACGAACTCGGGCCTAGAAAATTCTTGTACTGTAACGTCTCGGCCCAGCCCGTACTTTAATCAGGACTAGTTGCAACACATTCAGATCTTTATAGTTCCACGTACCATATGTTGATGCAGATCGGGCCCAATTCAAGATTGTTGATATAGGCCTGATGGCCCAAATCTGATTCTATTAGGCTAGCCTGGTTTTGGAGGGTGGATAGAGGAGGCTAGTGAGCCCGTCGATTATTATAGGGCATGAGCCCGATGAAATATCTAGATTTAAAAAAAAAATAAACAAACAAAAATTGGATTAGGTGAATAGATGTATAATCCACGTAATCTACACAATATCCCTAGTATGGAATAAGACTTCTTATTTAATTCAGTGAATATAGTACTCCCTCCGTCCAATAAAGTGTTACCCATTTTGACTAAAGTTGAAATTAAAGGAGGAATAATTTTGTTTGACTTTCCAAAAATACCCTTGATGTGATGGGTAAAAGTAGGATGTGATGTGTAGATTATTAGGAAAAAGGTATGATGTGATAGGTAGAGTTTGAAAAAGTAAGGGGTAAAAGTGGTTTTTTAATAGAAATGAGTAAGGGATTGTGGGACACAATTTTTTTGAAACGTGTAAATCTTTTTGGGACGGAGGGAGTATATTTTTTTATTTATAAAGATAGTATTAATATAAATTGTTAAATAAATAAATATGTTAAGTGTAAAATATAAATGTGATTGAAAAACTGAAGTTGTTCTTTTTTGTGAATGGAGGATATAATAATTTAAAACATTATAATTGAACTAAGATATAAATTGATGTACTCCGTAGTCCATAGGTTCTTGTTTTTTTATGGTTAAAAATTTACTGGAATGAGTGGATGGTCAGATATTCTTTTGCTTTTAAAAATTCACTAAAATAATTAATGTCATTTTATTTTTTTAGCAAAATGGAGATATTTTTAAAGCAATAAATCCCTTCAGCTCCCAACAAAAAAAAATTGTTGCCTAAAGAAATTGTAGTCCAACTAGTTTGTTATTATAAATTGTAATTGTTAAATGCTCAATTCATTAAATATCTGTAATTGTTTGAATAAAATATAAAAGTGAGATGATAAAATCATGATATATTGTTAAATAAAGTTAAAAGTACTTTTAAAATTATATATCTCTATTTAATATTTTTCTTATTTCAATCATATAAAGTTTCTTTGAGTAAAAGACTTACTACGAGTAAATTTTGTCCTTTTACATCACTTCATGAGGGGGTGCTTCTAATCCTCGTAGTAAGATGTCTACAATCACCTAAATTTCTGAATCTGCAAGTGATTGAGTACAGATAGTATTCAATCTGCATCTTCTAAAACCCAAAATCATATCCATCAAATTTTGCAACTTCAAATTTTTCTTAAAACCCATTAATTAAATTTAGAAGATACTCTATGGTGTCTTTACTCCTTTGTTTTTTACCCTCTTGTCCCTCTAGTCAGTTATCCCTACTCAAATCTACCCTATTAAATTTATATCCACAAACTATCTTCTCACTTTTCTTTTTTTGACAAATGCTTTTGCTCTAAACCACATCACTATCCTCATCTAAACCCATTAATTATTATCCATAACTACAATTTATTTCACCTTTTGTAAAGTCAACATATATTTACTTTTTTTAATTTGCGTGTGAAGTCAAAACGAGAAGATTATTTTTTGAGAGGAGGACTATTAAAATCTATTTTGGATATGGTCATCATTTAATCAAATATGATCCTATTGACCATTTAGGGAAGGCGGACATACTCCCTCCGTCCCAGAATGTTTGTCACACTTGCTTTTTTAGCAATCGCGGGAACTTTTGTTTATTTCTACGTTTTCATAGATTATTTGTTAAGATAAAATATTCTTGACACCTCTTATTTCGAAGAATTTTTCATTTAGTTTTTTGATATGTAAACATATTTTTTTATTTTTATGTCAATATGTAAATAAAATGAATTGAAAAAACTTGATATTTGACTTCGGAAAATAAAAGTGTGACAAATATTTAGGGACGGATGAAGTATTTAGCTAAAACTTGGTAGTCAAATGATATGGCCATTATGCCTTTACTTTATGGGATTTTGTGCATTTGGGGAGAGAAAAAAAAGCCAAAGTGAAACCTGAAAAGTATCATATGCGGCCTTTGCCCATTTTTTCCTGGAAGCCCTAAAGTCAGGTCCTACGTGAGATAGACGGAGCAACTACGACGGTACTTATTACCGTGAATATGATTGCCATTTTTATCGGCCTTTTTTTTTAGGGTTAAGGTTTTTAATTAACGTTATCTTTTTTAATAATGTTTTGGTGGTGTAAATAAATATCAAAAACGCTAAAATAAAAAGCCGACTTATAGCTTTGATTAATCCAAATCAATGTTTCCCAAACATACCCTTAGAAAAGTAAGCTGGAGTCATTTAAAAAGTGTACAAAGAGTTTTATAAAATCAAATGTCAAAACTATATTATTTTAAATAATAAACAATAAAAATAGATTTCTTAACAAGTACTCCGTAATAAAAATAGAGAAAACTCTTGGTATTGCAAATACTCAATTTGATTATTATTATTATTTTTTGTAAAAAAAAATTGTGAGAATATAAAGTATAGAAATGTAGAATGGTAGGAGCCGGAGAAGCACTTGCAAGTTTGTCGGTGTAGGGCCTAGGGAGGGGCCAAGAACATGATTCCCTGCTTTTTGTTGATTAGCTGGCCGGTTCAACACTCAAACCACGTAGATTATTTGAAATCCACAAATAAAGTTACCGAGTAGAAAAAACAAAAGAATTCCTAAACAAATGAATGGAGTGTTTTTCATACATCCGCATCGAGTGTTTATTTATGATTAAGTGATTACATATCTCCAAACAAATGAATACTCATTCACGAGTGACTGAGTACTTATTTCTCTAAAACTCATTTATGCCCGAAAATTAATACTCAGATATTCTGTTACTCGAAAATAAATATGTTGTTACTCAAAAATGAAAATTCAGTTACTTGACAATAAATATTCATGTGGATGTATATTAGCTCCACCATAGAATATGCCACATGAGAAATTCAAAAAATGACGCCACCTAGAATACCCTTACACCCCGACCCGACAGAAATTTAAAAAAGAGGAAAAGGAAGAGAGAAAAAGATTCTATTTTTACGTACCCTAACAAAAAGACAAACAAATAGTATAATACAGTGAAATATACTGAGTATATGTGTACAGTATACTCCTTTGTCCTTATAACTTTAGATCTTATGTGAAAGAAAACTAGGACTACTATTTTGTCTCAGAATATTCAATCAATTAATTTTTTTTAAATTCAACTGAATGATTAATCGTGATTACAGAGTATAAATTACTTCTTTCTCTTCTAGTTATTTGTTTACTTTTGATTTTTCGATTAAAATTAGTAAAGTTTGATCTCAAATTAAATAAATATGATATTATTAGATATTGATACTAAACTAATTTTATTAGATTTATTATACAAAATATTTTCAAAATATTATTTTATCTAACTAATATACTCCCTCCGTTCCTTTAAACACTTCCTATTTTGACTTTGGATAAAAATAAGGAACGTATAATTTTGGTTGACTTTCCAATTTTACCCCTAATGTGATGGGTAAAATAAGATGTGATAGTTTGATTATTAGTGAAAAAGT